AGTTCTATCGATCTTTTGCCATCAGCAATCACCTGTCAACGGGATTGATCTGGGGAGCCCAAATCGGCATTGAACCCAGCTTTTAAGAAACCAAACTCACTCTAAAATCGTTCAGGTTTTTTTTTGTACAAGATAAGGAAAGAGACGAAAAATTCCCAGCAGCTTGCTAATAAAAACCAGCTTCGGGTTATAAATGTTAATCTTTTGTTTCGCAATGGCCATATAAGGCAAATCATACCAAATTACCAAGAGAATACTTAGCTCGTTTTTCTCTTCATGCCAGCGCTTTGTTATTTCTGGAACAGCTATGATACCCAGCTTTGCTATACTTTGGGCTCACCGGAAACCAAATATATCGTGGGTTGTTGATGGCAAATTAGACAGCCTGATGCCGTTTTCTTTTGTAAAATCACAATCTCAGAACGACAGATCTGCATGGATATGAAAAAAATAGCTGAGGGAAACGTTTTAAGGGGGAAAGATTGCGTGACAAGCGCGTAGAAAAGACGAATGTAGTGCTGAGCCCTTAATTTTCTGACAAAACGGCTGTGATATACAAAAATGACTGACTACGATAATAAAGTATCATGCAAGTGACGAAGAGCAGATGTTAGCAATAATAGCTGGTTTGCCTTCGGAAATCTTTAGTAAAGAATAAACCCTAGTAGGGCCCATCATACTGCAAAAGTAAAAACTTGTTTACTCGCTTGAAATCACTGCAAGAAAGCTTTGCATCTTGATGTTTGAAATCAACGATGTTAGAGCTTCCAACCGGTCAGTAATAGAGACAAACAACCTCAACCAGCCAAAAAAGGGGCAACATAGAGACTATCAACACTATTGACCTATCCCACAGGGAGTGTAATGCACTCAACTTTATCAACCATACCATCGCGGACGTCATATTTGGTCCACACAATTACTTCCAGAGGTTTAACGATGTACATGGCCAGTTTTTCAATCCTCTCAGGCAAGCATGGTATCTATTTCTCAGTTTCATAAGGCCGCATGGGTTCGTTGGCCACGGGCTTGGGATCGAACGAAAGACCATGTTCGTACTGCAGGACACGTCCAACTACTGGGTTTCACAGCGATCTTCATATTGGATGATGACGTTACAATAGCCTATTTCCCAATTCTCGACGACATATGAAGATCCCTTCGCAAAATATTAGTTGTTTAGAAATAAATGAACGGAATGGGATATCTAATCTTTTAATGTATTTTTTAGTTTTTAGTAAAAAAAATCGATGATGCTCGACGAGTCCGTAGAGCCAGCAGAACCCGCTGGGCTACCCTGCACGCGACAGGGAAAATTGGAAGATTTATTGACGCCCACTCCAGTCACTCGACGATCAACGAGACCACAGGTGACAGGTGAATGCATTTTTTACCACTGAAATATTCTTTGCACCTTGCTACACTATATATTATTAGAAAGTCGATTTTCTGTCTTTTCTAACAATGTCTTTAAATTTTGTCAAAAGTTAATTTTTCTTACCAATTTTGCGCTTTGCAATTTTACATGACAAAAACAACTTTTCGTCAAATTTCCTCTAATGAGTTCAAACTCGGCCGTAGTGCAGCTTCTACGGCTCGAAACAAGAATGAAGTTTAGTGTGAAGATAGTGTTGTGAATGAACAGTGCGACCACGGTTCTGGAAATTCCGATTTGGTGATTTCGAACTCAGGATAAGAGGAAGGCCGCGGACGTCCCAATGAACTTGACGACGACGAATTGAAAGCAGTAGTGGAAGCAAACACGCGAATAACTGTTCGAGAGCCTGCGGAACAGCTTGGCGTAAGCACAGGCACAAGTTCCACTCACTTGAATCGTACAGGAAAAACAAAAAACTCGATAAGTGGGTGCCGCACGAAGTAAACGATCATCAAAAAATTCGTGGTTTTAAAGTGTGGTATGTTCTTATTCTGTACAACAAAAACGACCCTTTTCCTGATCGAATTGTGATGTGCGATGAGAAGTGGATTCTGTATGACAACCGGCGACGTTCACCTCAATGGTTCGATTGCAGTCAGGCTTCACAGCAAAGCCGAAATTGTACAAAAAAGGTCGTGGTGACTGTTTGCTGGTCTGCAGCAGAGCTGATTCATCACAGCTTTTTGAATCCCGGCAAACCGATAACGGCAAAGAAGTATTGCCAACAAATCGATGCACCGTAAACTCCAACAAAAACGATCGGTATTAGTCAACAGAAAAGGACTAACCCTTCTCCATGACAACGCCCACCCTCACGCTGCGGAATCAGCGCTGCAGAAGTTGAATGAATTGGGCTACGAAGCTTTGCCTCATCCGCTGTATTCATCAGACCTCTCGCCTACCGAATATCACTTCTTCGAGCACCTTGACAACAGCCTGCGCGAGAAATGCTTCATCAAGCACGATGATGCAAAAAATTCCTTCAACGAATTCATTGCCTCGAGAACTCCACAGCTTTAGGCAACTGGAAAAAGTAAAGTTGTTCCTTGTTGGCATAAATACATAGATTCTAATGGTTTTTATTTTGATTAATAAAATTCTGTTTCAAGCAAGTTATCACATTTTAAATAATATAGTCAAGACGCTCATTTATTCCCGAACAATCTTAGCTTTGTATCTTAAATCTTTGTCGAAATCGACGACGTTAGAGCTTCCAACTGGTCATTAATAGAGACAAACAACTTAACCCGGTCATATACCAAATCAGTTTTTCTGTCGTCTCAAACGAATATGGTACCTATTTCTCAGCCCAATTAGCTGGATGGCCTCATTCGCCTCAAGGCATGGAATGAAACGAAACACCATGTTTGTACTGTTGGACATGTCCTACTAGTGGGTTTCACAGTGATCCCCATAGTGGACGATGACGTGACGATGGCCTATTTCCCAATTGTCGGCGGCATGTAGAGAACCTTTCGCAGAGTATTGGTTGTTCGGAAACAAATGGTCGTTTTGAAATATTTGTTGTTTTAATGCATTTCTTACCAATAAATTATTTTTTAAACCTTCCAAGATTATATATCATTAGAAAGCTAGTTTTATGCCCTTTCTAAACATGTCCTTATATTTTGTCAAAAGTTAGTTTTTAAACAATTCTCAGCTTTACAGTTTCAGATATCGAAAAAGAATTTTTGTTAAATTTCCTTTTTGAGTTCAAACTCGGTCGTAGTGCAGCAAAGAAGGCTCCAAACAACCAAACAAAGATGAACTTTAGTGCGAAGGTAGTCTTGGTGAGCGAACAGAGCGAACATGGTTCAGGAAATTTCGATCTGGTGATTTCGGCCTCGAAGGTAAGGAAGGTCACGGGAGTCCCAATGAACTTGACAAGGAAGAATTGAAGGCACTACTGGAAGCAAACACATGAACAACTATTCTAGAGCTTGCAGAACAGCTTGGCGTAAGCATAGGAGCAATTTCCACTCACTCGAATAGCATAGGAAAGACAAAAAACTCGACAAGTGGGTGCCGTACGAAATCACCGTTTTGAAGTGTAGTCTGCACTTATTCTGCGCAACAAAAACGACCCTTTTCTTGATCGAATTGTGACGTGCGAGGAGAAGTGGATTCTGTGCGACAACCGGCAACGTTCAGCTCAATGGTTGGATTGCCACCAGGCTCCACAGCACTTTCGAAAGGTGAAATGCACCAAAAAAGGTTATGGTGACGGTGACTTCTTGGTGGTCCGCAGCCGAGCTGCCTCACCACAGCTTCTTGTATCCCGACGAAATGATTCTGGCAGAGAAGTGTTGCCAGAAAATCGACGAAATGCACCGTAAACTCCAACAACAACGACCAGCATTAGTCAACAGAGAACAGAGAACAGAGGAAACCCTTCACACGACAATGGCCGGGATTACGTTGCGGAACCAGCGCTGTAGAAGTTGAACGAGTGGAGCTACGAAACTTTGCCTCACTCGCCATAATTATCAAACCTCTCGTCTACCGAGTTTTACTTGTTCAAGCACCTTGACAACGTCCTGAGCGATAAATGCTTCACCGACGACGATGACGCAGACAATGCTTCCAACGAATCCATCGCCTCCAGAACTCCAGTTTTGCGCAAGTGGAGTAAGTAAACTTGTTTCTCGTTGCAAAAACGCGTAGGTTCAAATAGCTTTCACTTTGGTCATCAAAGTTTTGTTTGAAGCACGTTATGAGATTATAAATAATAGTTAAAAACGCTCATTTATTTCTGAGCAACCTCAGCTGACGATGTAATACCGTCAAACAGTCCACGAATAGTTCCTCGTATGATGAAACCGACTAACAATCACTTCGTGATGCATGTCCTATCCAGTCCTTGATGCGGATGATTAGTGAAAGCATCAGACATTTCTCCGAATATTAAACGTGTACTCCTTTCAGGTCACCTGCATCCTCTAAAGTCTCATAAGCTCGAAAACTGGTTGATGACTTGTTTGAAAGTTCCGTCTCAACATACTTTCCTACCGTTGGGAGCCCATGCATCTCGAATTCGTTCTCCACGAAATCGACATTTTCTTGGTGCATTTAATTATTTTCCGGCTTATTACACAATGAGATAAAGATTAAATACAAGTTACTCAATGTTCATTGTGCAGAGGAGATATCAATGTACCCAAAAATGAGATACAACGAGGACCAAGAAGACCTGAACCCGAAGAAAGAACAACGCTGTGTTTAAACTAGAATATCTACAGCGTTAGACAATCACTTAAGGATGTGCTGTTCTACACATGCTCCCCACTATAGCAAAGTTACTGAAGCACCTCAAATGAAACTGTTAAATTGCATCTCGAAGAGGATCGGTCAGGGCATTAGTAAATAGCCTCAACCGACCATACTACACTTCGTCAACATTCAAATTACAAAGACTTACAACTTTCAGCACAGGAGTTTTACTACAATTCCACACCATATACTTCATTACTATTAGTGGAGGAACATGGTCAGCTATCCAAAATGTAAAGCGCAATGAGTGTATTTGAATAGGTAGCAAATGGCCAAATGAATACAAACAGTTTTAAAAGTCGATCGGCTTGTACATCCACCTCTCCTTCTTCACGTCTTCAAGAGCCTGTTCCAAAGCCCGCATTCGACCTCGATGTAACTCTAAACAAGTATACTGGAACATATATGAAATTAATAGCTCCCATCAAAAAGAAAGGATCAAAGGTTAAAATGGCCCACACGGTAAATCGAGTGGTAAATGAAACAGAAGGGAATTACTCGCACTATGTAGTTCAAAACTGAGCCACCACCTCAAAAAAATACACACCTTCTTCCAATTCCTTTTTGTGGTACTCTAGCTTTTCTTCAATATACGCTTTAAAGTAGATTTCTTTCACGTTGTCTGAAAACTGATTCTGAAAGAACTAGTGGTAATAAATCCGATGAAAGTGATTCTGGGTCGAATCGAGCCACGAAAAAAATCTGATGCGAACTATTTGTCGAAGTAAATGCAGTAAAATTACCACCACTGGAATAAAAAAAAAGCAAGAATAAGAATCTTTGTATTCATACGACTTTCGCATTTCCCTAACAAGAACACGGGGAATTCGAAAAAATCAGACTACAAGATAAATAATAAAGGATAAAGCTCTCGGCGTTGATCAATCCCTGAGAGAAGCGCCATGCATTCGACTCCTTTCGTAGCATTGTTTGGGGGTGATTAAATGCATATATAGCCTATACAATGGCTTGTCGTGGCCCAACGATGTATCGAACTAGTGCTGCTATCCTTCCAGACAAGTTTGGCACCACTTTGCCGTCCCCGGAGGGATGGAATGCTTAGTGAGCCACGGGCGTGGGTATCGATCCCAAGTGTGTGTGTTGCAGGGCGCCTCTGACCACTGCGCTACACTCACCCCTTAAAAAATTAAAGATGGCTATTAATCTGTGCTACATCGTACCGATATCCTCATAAGACTACAAAATACAGAAGTAAAATTTCTTGTCTACTACTGACCAGAAACTACGTCCTCATACCTGCTTTCAAGCTGCGACTGACCGGAGTTGGTGAGGTGTATATCGATCGTTCATCGTCGAAATCAGGAATCTGAGGAGCACTTAAGAACAGAGGTGAACTTGAGTAACTACAAAGAACAAACAGGATTACCTGAATGGAGAAGTTGACGACGATCCCACAATGAATGGTGAAGAAGACCTCGGTGATAGATTGGTACCAGGAATTATTGAGAACATTGCTATAACAAAAAGAAACAATATGAAGTAAACGAAATGAAAAGTATGAAGTAAGGGGAGATAAAGTGATGAAAAAGTAAGAGCCAAAAGGGGACCAGGACAAATACCACCGAAGTATTAGGATTAAAGATACTAAATCAAAGCATTATTCTCCTTCTTTATTATTTATATACGGCCCGTCCTCAAGTTTACTGTTCGGGTCCCAGCACTTCTCACAATCGATTCGTTTCCTCGCATCCATTATCCATGAAGGTTCTGCCATTTGGTACATGTGGCTCCGGTCCCTGCTTGAAGATTTTCCTTTCATCTGTTGTCGGATGATGGTCGAGTGGATTCTCCTAGAGTTCTAGGATAGTCGAGCTACGGCGCTCCCAACTGGATTGCAGAGAGTGATTTTCTCCCGGACAAGGCTGGTATCAATTCCGCGACTGAGGAGGAATGATGGGCTTAATGGCCCAGAGCGGGATCGAACCAGCACCACGATCGTGAGAATTAGCATCAGTACCATTGTGCTATCCGCCCCACTGCTGTGAAATGAACACTTCAAACCCAACTAAACACCAACTATGAAATTACACACTTGTACCGCGATAAGTGAATGAAGAAGGTTTTAACAAAACGAGGAAACCGTAATATTGCGTCAATTAATCTGTAGGAAGTATTTGGACGCCAATTTTCACCATGGTCCGTTAGTTGATGTTCCAAATTGGTAGATATCTATCGGATCTATTTCTTCCTTTTATATTTCTGTTCTTTTCTAAGGAGATAACATGCTAGAAGTTGGCAGTGGTCATGAGACACCTATATTACTCGAGTAGAAAAGAATTTATTCCTAGGATCGACTTTCTCTTAACCTCGGCATCGGAATATGTGTCGTTTTCTTGTTCAGCAATCGCGAGGTTTTTAAACAGCATACATTTACTTCCATAAAAACACAATACAATACAACGCTAGCTGACGTTTCGGCAGTATCGCCTTCTTCAGAGCCGCTTCTTCGTGACTTCCAATGAGGAAGTTTAGAACGGCTGATTATAGTCGCATGTGGTTGACCTCTTTATTTCTATGCGAGCTACAATATTACAATAAAGAAAACAAGAATTTATTCCAATAAATATAGTAGTAAAGTCGAGTGGTGGTGTTTCATTGTTATTATGGACTGATGGGGTAATGGGCTAATAATCTACTGGAATGTCCAGAACTGCTTTTGTGTCAATGACCTTCATCGTTGTGGACCTCTTTGAAATATCCTCTCTTTTCCTGCCATTTTTTTGCACCTAACGATCTTTTTGTTGGCTTTATACCAATAAAATTTCATAGTTCCTTTCAATTTGAACGCAACATAGCAGCTTCTATCTCCAGTTTAAGATGGTCACGTCGTTCTACTTTCAGAATCTCTGCACACAGAAGTGAGAAAGCTGTTCCTTGCAGCTCTGCCTGGCTTGACATGGGAGATGGGAATTGGGGCTCATCATTACCGTCCCATTCATCGCCGGTTATTTCAACACTTTCACTTAAGTATGTGGAGCTTTGGCGAACATTCTGGAATTCACCCCTATACGAGTTCTAAATTCAGACTTTTACTTTCAATTTAGGACGAAGATCTCCTTCAAAACGGGAGCGGCAACAGCGGTAACCGTGACACCGTTCTATACCCTGAAGCCAGAATTACCGCGTAAGTCGAAGATTTTTACGAATATCCCAACAATATAGTGTAGTTACCTCTTTTAGGTTTGCCTCTATGTTTTAATGTATATTATATATATATCTTTGTGATGTATGTAAGTGCGTGTAGTGCAGCGGCAGTTGGAGGCGCCCTAAAGTACACATGGGATATCCTCGCTCCATAGGCTCACCAAGCCTTCCATCCCTCCGGGGTCAGCAAATTGATACCAGACTTGGCTGGGAGGGTAGCAGCACTGACTGGATACATCGGTAGGCAACCATGAGTCATTGTAAAGGCCAGGCATTCAGTCATCTCTAACAATGCTCTATGAAGTCGAATGTTTGGCGCATTCCTCAGGTATTGATCAACGCCGGGAGTTTTATCCTTTTTTATACGAGATATATATATTTTTTAAAGGACTGTATCATGTTTTTTATGACAATTTCGCCGAAACAAGCCTCAGAATTTTGCTTTGTAAACCATCAAAGATGGTTAAAAAATCAATATATCGGCATTAATCAACGTTTGACGGATGTGTCATGCATTCATCATGATCAGGCATAATTAGAGGTGGACTGAATGTATATCTGGCTTCTATAGTGACTCACGGTGACCCACCGATCTATCGAGCCGGTGCTGCTATCCTCCTTGGCAGGTCTGGTACTAATTTGCCGATCCCGGAAGGATGGAAAGCTCGGTGGGCCTTGGGCGCGGGGATCGATCCCATTTGTATTGTAGGATGCTTTCGACCACTGCGTTACACGCATCCACGAGCAAAGATTGTAATTTGAGAAAAATTCGTTGTTTCAGCGAAAAGTCCAATGCTTGGCAGCTCAGATCTGTTGACTGCATACGACTTGGGAGCAGTGTATAGTCGATATTGTGGAGCGAAAAGGATGCGTGAAGATCTGAATTCATTTTTACCCCAAATATATGGAAATTTCAACTTTTCTCAGGCTCAGGATATTAGGTAATGAGAATTATTTAAAGGTTCACGATCAGAGCCGTATTTAACTCATCTTTCTTTCTTGTAGTCACATGAAGTACCGTTTGAACGTTGTGACCATATCGTTTGGTTTAACTGAAATAATAATCTAACTTATTTTCAGTTCCCTAAAGATGTTGGTAGAGAAGCCACCAATAACTGGTAAGGAAATCAATACGTTGTCTTCCACGGCAATGAGTGGATTTCGTCTTACACCTGGTCCTGTTGATGAAAGTTAAGTGGACTGTTAACCGCTCCAAGATTTATGTCAATATGTTAGCATTTCTACAATATTTACACCCAACAAGTTTGTTTAATAGTTTCCCCGTTCCCTATAATTTTTCAGGTAACTGTTCAAATTACGCATTATATCTTCTGCTATAGGTGCTTCTTTTCCTATGTCTATTTGTACTTGATCACTTACTTGAATACTTGGATGGCCTGTCATCATTGGTTGTGCGAACTCCAGCATAATTTCTAATTTTTGGAGTTTTACTGGTTCAACCACTGTTGTTCCCTGGAATCCCGAGGTCAGCCTGGCCATAGTCTTCCCCCGTGGTCGTCACGACCGGCAGTCGTCGCCCTTGTGGACCAAAGGGAGATTTGCCACCATGCAACTATTCTAATAACAGGATAATGGTAGGTCCTGATATTGATTTACTCTTATCTGAGCTTCCTAATGGAAACGCTGAACTCCTCAGCTTGGGAGGCCCTGCTGGACCGATGAACCCTTCGCTGTACGTCGTAGCCCGACACCCAGTAACACCACGCCAGGGTGAAGCGTTAAACCTTTGAGAGGTTTATTTGATAAAGTTGCAAATTTTATTTATAAACACCGACTACTTCTTATATGGTTGAAACTGTGGTTTTAGATATCGATACTTTTTCGAGAAGAAGCGTGAAAGTGATGGGGTGTCCGTCATTTATGACATAGAACGAAAGGACTTCGGTGTTGGTCAAAGATATAAGAACTCCTTAGACAGCTTAGATGGTGAGTGCGGAATTCCATTAAGGGACTTTTTGCTGTTAACTTTATACAGTGCTGGAAAGTGTTTATACAGTTTATACAGTCCCATTTTTGTTTTGAATTCACTTGACTTCACAATGTTTACTTTTTATTTTCTGTCTTCTATAATTTTTTATGGCAAGGTATTAAGCGAAATACAACCACAACATTGCTGAGATATTTGCAAAACTCCGGACCGCGGATGTCTGCGGTAGGGAACGAACGCGCTATTGTCCTTTCCGGGGGCTAACGCGTTCATCACCACACCATGCAGGGCCCTTCGTTTCGCCTGTCCCTCAGCTAGTTCTATTGAACTGGCTTTAGTGCCGATGTAGGCTCACCAGGTCAGTACCGTTGACGTATGATTGAGGTGAGACGAGTTTTGCAAATATCTCAGCAATATTGTGGTGGTTATCTTTCACTTGACATCGTTTTTTCTTTTGCTTCTGTTTTGTGTCATGCGTTCTGTGACTTAGATTCGTAATTTTAAGGTGATGAACCGGAGCGAAAGAAGCATAAAAGTGAAAAGAAAGAGAAGAAGAAGAAAAAGGACAAGAAAAAGAAGGACAAGGTGCATGGGGTCTCGTAGTTTTCCTTTTCCGATTTTTGTTGAAAATTCTTTCGGTATTAATTCTTTCTGCTCTTACAACCTGTTTATGTCGAAGTCATGATTTGATCAACCACTTCTTTATGAATTTCAATTTGAAGGCCAGTTTCTATTTGAGCAATATTTTGATTTTGTTTGTTACAGAAGGATGATGATCGAAAACATAAGAAATCCGGCGATATTGGTGGACAAGCACCTCCTGTACTGATGGAGTTCTAAAGTAAATTTTTGGTCGGGATTGTTCGTCGTTGACTATTATTCATTTTCTTTTGTTTTACTTACTCTTGTTTTCTCTTTAAGAGATATTTAACGGGTGGAAAGTGGGCTCGTAAGTAAACAAGTTACGTCTTATAGTTTAAGAATTTCAAAATTTTCTTACCAATCGTTCGAGTTAATTCACTACAATCTGTTATTATTACCAACATTTTAGACCATTGCTGGATGTTAGTGATTATTGAATGACTATATAACCCACATGCTTCATAATTTTTGAGGGACTAGTGAAAATTTCACAGTAGTGATAAAGTACATCATCGTTTGGGATCCGAAGAGTGTTCTTGCCCTAGGATCACCACAACGACTTTCTCATGTCGCTACATGATGTCATTATGAATCCCCTTTCTACTTCGTTGGCTAGAGTGTCATCGTTGGGCTACGCAGTGCTTCATAAGATGGATATATGCACTCATACCTCGTGAAATGGAGTCATCTAACGTAGAATGTTTGAGATGCAAGATGAGAAGTAGGAGTTTATTATTATGATACAGTGCCTTTCAGTTTGAAATTCTTGAAATACATGGTTTCGTAGTCATAGGATCCTTTAAAGTGATTAATGAGACATCTTAAAGATGACGTTTTTGTGAAATTAAAGTGTTGTTCATAGTGTATCGTGGTGTTCCAGAAAAGAAATATGGCCTTTATGTAACCGCCATAATGCTCGAATCTAAAGAAGTTTTTCCTCTACTTCCGCATTTACGTTGGATGGAATGAGTTTCTCCGAGTGAGCTATGAGGTACATGGGTCTACAAGTCAACATGATAAACAAGAAAGCTCCTGACTGGGCCGCAGGAAGCGACTGGATTGAGAAGCTTTCAGCAACATTGAAGGGTTTGTGAAGAGGACGAATACAGCCCGATTTCGTGACCATTTTTTCGAGTTGACGATCCTTGCTGTTTTGAGATACGCATGGGAAGTGTCGTTACATACCCATGAAAGGTTATTCAGCAAAACTTGGCGCACAGTTGGCAAACGAAGTTCACAGTATGTTGTATCACAGCAGTGAGAAAGGGAATTCGTTGTCCCGACTCACGTGTACGATGTGAATGATTAAAGATTGAGGGATCTAGTACACACTTGGAAATGTCGAAAATAAGTGTTGAATACGGAGTGCGTCTTAACAACAAACAGTTGACAAGAGCCATTAGCGAGTGGATGCCACGAGACGTCAGCCACAAGCAGGAGGGTCACCGATTCAATGGTCAGGATTCTTCACAAAAGTCAGCGAAGAAACTTATAGTGCTCAGCGATTATTTACAACGAGTAAAACAGTGAGTTTCTCTTGTACGCAAGAAAAAAGTGCAGACTTCACCGGTGCTCGACCACGCCTCTCGACAGACAACGAGAGGGCAAGGTGACAGAGGTACATACACACACACCAGCAAGTTCAAGAATGTATTCATAATGTTAACTTATTCATTTACTGCCCACTGCAATTTTCGCGGGGGAGTGTCACCTGCATCGCCTGCAGTCCCGTTGATCGTCGACTGACTCGAACGGGCGCCAGTAAATCTTCCATTTTTCCCTGTTGCATGCGACAATAACTCAGTGGGTTCTCTTCGTTCTAGGGACTTATTGAACACCATACTTTTCCTCTTCGCTTTTCTTAAAGAACTCTGACCATTGTGTTGGTGGTCTTCCCGCAGTGCTTTTGACATCCCGAGGAGTCCAGTTATTAACAACTGTTGTCCATCGGTTGTCGTTCATGCGAGTTACGTGTTTGATGAACACAGCTAGATATTATAAGGAATTCAACCACAATTTGCTGTTGGAGAACTCCGGACCATAGGTGTATGCGGTTGGATCAAGCACTCTATTACCCTTCCAGGGGCTGACGTGTTCATTACTACAACATGTGGATCCTTCGATTCGCTTTTCACTCTAGACTAAAGCCGCGGCTTAACTAGGTTCAATACCAATTTGTGTTCTCTAGGTCAATCCCGTTGATGGGTGATCGCTGATGGCACTGTTAGACAGAAAATTACCTGAGAACTCCGTGTGGTTGAATTTATTCCTAGTTATATAGCTTTAGAAACAAGATACCTATCGCTTATCTTTTGCATCTTTAGGCAACGTTTATAGCCGATAAGGATGTTCTCGAATCAGGCTGTTGGTTATGTGAATTGTTTGTACTTGTAGAGAATACCGAATTTTGATTGACACTTATGTTTTCGTTGCATGCATTTAAAGCCCTTTGTATATGAGGTGGTGTACAATTTGGAACTTACTAGAAACCACCGCACTAATGGCATCCAGCCGACTGCGCCGTAGTATATCGCTTATGGCTTAAGTGGCTGTTCTAAAAATTCAATCAGTGCATGATAAATTATAGACCGTTTTACACTGATGAGATACAGATAAGAGCTGTGCATGCGTATATACATATATATATGTGCATTTATACATATACATAAATACACTTGGGTACTTGGATGGCCCGTCTACATTGGTTTTACGGTGCCCAACATAACTTTAATTTTTCGTTGTTTCGCTGGTTTAGCCATTGTTGCCTGGATTCCCGAAGTCTGCCTCGGGTCGCCACTATAACAGGCAGTCACCGCCTTTGTAGAACAGGGAGGTTCACCACCGTGCGACTAGTTTGATACCAGGACGGCGGTGGACCCTAGTATTGGTTTATTCTTAGCTGGGCGTCTTGATGCAAACGTCGGACTCCTCAGTTTGGGAGGTCCTGCTCTGGGAATGAATCCACCAGCTGTACTTCGCAGCCAGACACCCAGGAACACCTTCCAGCGGTGAACCGTTGGAATATATATATATACATATATATATACATATATATACATATATATACATGTATATATGGGCTTTAAGTTGAATGCTTGATTTTCAATGTTTTGAATAATAATTTTACTCAGCATTGATTAGTTTCTCGAAGAAACAAATGTAGGTAATGTGTTTAATATCCATAGTGATGATTGCTGTCGTACAAGAGATTATTCTAGCCGTTAGGAGTTGAAATACGTAAGCCTGTAAATCCGAAAAAGTTGCAAGAGAAGCTTTAAGAAAGGAGAAGGCGCAACGTTGTTGATGATGTGGGCGCTTGTAGAGAGCTGTCAGTGGAGAAATAACGGCAGCGATAGCGTATAAGAAGCACAATTTGTCGCTATGAATAGTTTTATGAATACAGCGTAGAGAAGAGAAAAGTGCGTAGCACCTATCTGTTTGCGAATATGATGTTTTTCAGAGAGTTCAACGACGAATCATTAACAACGAAATGTGCAGAGATGGCCGTCACGAGATGGGTTTCCTCCGTGACCTTTGAGAACTCTAGAATTCCTCAGTAATCGGATTTCGATGTTTGCGATAATGGTGTGTTTGTCATGTGGGAATTTCATGGAATAGTTCAGGACGGAGAAATATGTGAAGAGGCACGAGGTTGCAACGTCATGCCCTGTTATAGGTATTTTTTCGATGTCTGCAGTCATCCCGTTATCTCACTAATATCACAGAAGCTTTCTTTCTTCTTGTGAGTCTTTACCACTACAAAAAATCGGATGCTTTTCTGTTGTAGAGAAACGTGTAGTCTATTAGTTCATTACCATTATTATTAGATAACGGGTTCATTATCTCTTACTATCACTTCTCAGGCAACGTATTGATGAGCTGGTCGTAAGTCTCTCAGTTTTGAACCCACATCTCATCTTGGGTAACTTTATTTTTGTAGTTTCAGCTATATATGTACGCATTTTGGTCTGGTGCTTTAGTTCCTTGTTCATTATCATTTATTCGTTGTTCTGCTGTTGATTTTAATAGAACCATTTGAAAGTACCACACAGATGTTTGCTTATACTTAGGGTATGGTGGAGCGAACTACATAAGTTTTGAGATCTCTTAGTTTTTTTTCTCCTTTTTCATGAGTGCACGACTTGGGTGTGTTTTATCTTCCGGTTCCCTGTCTCTGGTATACTTCTGAAACTATTGATTGATTGATGATAAATCGTACAAGAACATCTTATGATGGAACTTTCTCGTTTAAAAGGATCACCTTTCATGTTTCTGTACTGTTTCTAGCGATTGGCATGTTTTGCGACGAGTACATAGGAAAGATTTTCGCATTGAGACAATGTTATCTTGCCCGTGAGCCATAACGTCATGGTGGAAGTGGACTCTAACGACAATGGATTTAAGGAGAATAGAGGACAAGTAGTAGAAGTTGCTAAACATCACCTAAACTTAGAGCCTATTGACTTCATTTGATTAGTTGAATTCGAAACTAGCCAAGTAGTATGGGAGAATTATACATACAGCACCATCTGGAGACGTCGTTGAACCATCTGGTAGCTTGTTCTAACAGCAATGCACAAATCTTGGCGTAGTAGTTCCTTATATTGAATCTACATCCCATCATATATTCCCTTCATTATATTCGATATATTACCTCCCAGCAGTTTATTATCTTCTCGTGGCTAGGAGGTGTTTCTGGGTGTCGGATAGCGAAGTACAGCGGAGAGGTTTATCCTTCTATTCTTCATCAAGGCATCCTAAGCTGAGAAAGTGTCCGGCGTCTCCATCAGAAACCCAGCTAAGAATAAACCAATACCAGGATTCACCATCGTAATGGTATCAAACTAGTCCCATGGTGGCAAATCTCCCTATGATCCACAAAGACGGCGACTGTCTGTGGTGATGACGACCTGAGGCAGATTTTGCTAGGCTGACCTCGGAACTTCGAGGAACCACAATGGCTAAACCAGCGAAAGTCTGAAAAAATGGAAATTATGCTGAGCCACGCACAACCAGTGAAGATGGGCCATCCAAGTGTCCAAGTAGGTAAGTATATTGGACATGTTGGGTCTTTCTTGAATAGTACTCAGGTCAGAGAGTTCCTATTTCACTTCTTCCTATTCTTATCCCATTTTTTGCTTTGTTCCTTAGCTCTTTAAACTCCAGATATCGGGTTTTTTTCTTGAGTTCTTTCCTTTCGCGCGAGATTGGTCTAATATGGATAAAGGCAGCTGGATAGAGACTTTGTGGGATATGCTCAGTTTAACCGCTCGTAATATGTTGCTAAGCAAAACTTTTAATAAGATTTGAGGGCGTTTCTACAGCACATATGGTTTCTCTTTTGTAAGGAATCAGATGTGGTATTCTTGAAAAGTCCAGTTGCTGGTGGAAAGCTTAGTTAACAGATTAACTGAGGCGTAATGTAACACGAACCTGGTCTCCATGTGGATCGCCGGCAATGTTTTGCGACGAAATTTAGCTAGCTTTCAGTGGAATCGGGTCGATATATCTTGAAAGAAGTTAAGTAATCTAGGCTGTGCAGGTGATGTTGCATCGTGTTTTCGGTGAGCGAATACCGGAAATCGAGACCGATTCGGAAAATAAAGTTCTGTCTACCAATGAAGATCTACTGCTGTGGATTCGTGAAAATGAAATTGGAAACGATGTCGTGATAGAAACACCCTTTGGAAGACGTTATGGTGAGATGTTTGGTAATTTTTTTTACGACTGGATATTGTTGTCTATTGGTATTTGACATTCCGTCTCAACGGTTTGCTTCCTCGTCGTCGCTGGGAAGGGTTTCTGGGTATCGTGCCGCGATGTACAGCGGGAGGATTCAACCCCCAGCAGGGTCTACCAAGCTGAGAAGGAACTCGACGTTTCCACCAGGAAGCTCAGCTAAGATTTAACCATGACTAGAATCCTCCACCACCCTGGTATCAAATTAATCGCATGGTCGCAAATCTCCCCATTTCACAAAGGCCGCCATTGCCTGTGGCGGTGACGACATGGAGCAAACTTTGGCTGGTCTGACCTAGGAACTCTTGGGAACCACAGTGCTTAAGCTAGGAAAACTCCGAAGAAATGGAGATCATTTTGGGGCCCGCACAACCAGTGAAGAGGGAGCATCCAAGTATCCAAGTAAGTTTTATATTCAGAAGCAATTTTAAGGTATTTTTTATTTCTAAAATAATTGAGGGTTCAAAAGTCTTTTAAATATGGTTTACGTATTCAGCGATCTATTGTGACTATACGGCTTCGGCTCGAGCAATACGTCCTATTGAAGAGTATATTTTGGAAAATGTACTGCCGTTGTACGGTAACACACATAGCTCTGTGACAGTGTCGTCAGAGCAAACGACTTTATTCGTTCACGAGGCCAGGTGAGTTGAATTCTCGATGAGATCATCTATAGACTTTTTAGTGCGTTAGAAGAAGGAGTCTAGTACGACTGCTTCGTCAGTTTTGAGATATACTTTCACTTCCGGCTACTTCCCTGAATTCACTGAAGCAGGATAGTTGTCAGCACTTTTTGTTCACAAGCAGCTCTGCCATCACTTTTTCCACTACGCTGCATGGAGGAGTTGACTGTTCTGAATAAACATTACGTTCCCTAGGCATTTTTGCGATGTTCGTTCATTGGACGACTCGAATTATAAGATTTAGTCAATCAAAATCACGCTTTATATAGTACTAAGGAGGTGTTCTATGGCTTTTGTTATCTCTTTTGTTGCTGTTTTGTTGTGTTCATAAGGCAACACGAGGTTTCTATACAGATCTTTATTGTGGCTAACGTTTCGATACCCTCACCAGCTTTAAAGCCACATTGATTCAATTCAAGTGTCCATAGCAGTTATTTTGGTCGGTCTTCGCCGTTTTCTCGAGCCCGATTGAGAGTTAGTGGAGCACTACACCGAAGGAAATATGAATGAAGAATACTTAATAGTTCCTGGTTCACCACCTGATTTATTTGCAGCAAAGGTTTCTAATTATATTGGAATTTCCAAGAGTAGTTCTCTAGTGTGCGGGCAGCGCAGTGGTTGTGGTGCAGTTTAATACGCTTGAGACCCTAATTAGACAACGCCTTCGCTTGACCCAATTCTTCGTTCTTTCAGAGGAAGTTGGTAGCTGACTTATATTTGATCAGCTTGTTCCTTCCAATCCATAAATCCATGCCTATGATGAAGATCTAGGAACGCCTTAGCATAACCATTAGAGGATTCTAAGGATAATTGACTCGATCACCTTTCAACGATGAAGTTCAACGATTTGCGAACGATGAAGGAAATCCTCAAGCAGAAGCCAAACTTACACGCAAATCTGAAGACCTTCAAGGATGATGGAGGCGAAGGAAGGAATCGAGTGCAATAGATGGTGGGATACGCACAATGTGTGACGTCGGATTATGTAAAATAAAATAAAATTTCATTTTTCACAGCTACACCTTTTACAGTAGATTCCACGTTTCAGACAGGAAATACGGTCGATGACGGGTGCTGGTGATGGTGACGATGTGATATTTACTGGATCGGGTACTACAGCTGCCGTCGAATTGCTAATTCATCTGATGCAGCCAGCAAGGCTGGTCCGGTTTTTTTACCGAGTCGTATTACTAATTGAGATCAGATGTTGGCGGTCGTGGTGAAAAACTGAAAAAATTGTTCTTCCAGTAAAACTATGCAAACTTATATTGAGGGTTTTGGCATAGCCGAACAACCGTAATCTGCTTAAAGTGAAGTACTTTTATAACCACAATGATGTCGGAATATTTGCAAAACTTCGGACCCCAGGGATCTGCGGTGAGGATCGAACACGTTATTAACCTTTCCGTTGGCTAACGCGTTCACCACCACACCATGCGGGTCCTTCGTTTTGCCTTCCGGCAGCAGATACCTGCGATTTGGAGTTTTGCAAATATCTTAGCATCATTGTGGTTCCATCACACGTAATACCTTGCCGTGCAGAATTATAATACGTAGTAAATAAAAAGTTAACATGTGTCACAAATTGTTTAATTGAAAAGTGATTACATTGTGAGGTACTCTTATTTGTTCTTGACATCAAAAAGTTGCAACATCGTGGAAAACACATGCTTGCCCGACTATTCCATCCATTTCGTGAGGCTATACACCTAGGACTCGGCTACAATTACAATAGCTTCTTTGCTTGTGCGGACTGTGTCCTCTCCAATATTACATTCTACGAAGACACTTTAAGTGTTCGAAGTTGCTGTTAAACAGAACCACATTTGAAAGTTTGAAGAGACTACAAGAGTGTTCGCTATTTTGTTGTTTAGCCAGATATCATTTCCGGAATAAATGCTTTTCCTATTGTAGGTGGTTATCTCCTCTATTCATGAACACCATTCTAATTTGTTGCCATGGCGTTTTATTTCTGAGGCTTCATATCTTGTTCGTGAATCTTGTGATGGAGGGATTGATGTTGGTGAGTAATAAGACAAAGGATGTCAACATAATTTAATTGTGGTTTCGCTCCATGTAAAATTACGGCCTAGGCGTCTTCTTGCTTACCCCATTTTCTCCCCTGTTCTCAAAAATTTTCGTATATTTAACAGCATTTTAAACTCAACGCGCTAAACACATGTTTTTCTTGGTATTTAGTTCATAAATTTCGAAACTTGCCACCAATTCGATTTGTCGCGTCGCCTTGGGATATGACTGTTCCTTAGAATGCTTTCAATCTAACTGCTTTTCTAGACGATCTTGTCCGTGTTATTAACGAGGCCCGTATGGCACACCCGCATTCTCAGTTGTTGGCAGCATTCACAGCTTGCTCGAATATTACTGGAGTTTGTATGAATGTACCTCAGATTACCGCCATACTCAAAAGGTAAATTTAATTTATTGCAGACCCTTTAGGGAACAAGCAAGTTTTATTCTGCAATATTGAATGATAGGAAGCATGTTTATTGATTGGTACAGACTGACTTGGTTGCTTGAATGGCCTGTTTTCACTGGTTGTGCCTTTCTCTTTTTTTCATCCATCAAAATTTCCATTCCTTTCTTTCTCGCGCAATCGTCGCCTATGATGGTGCTGTACCTCGAACATGATGATGTCCGCGAGGTCCATCCCGTAATCCTAAATCGTTGCCATCTCCTGGTACAGATGGTTGACGTTAGCCACAAACACTTCGCCGTCGTTTGGATAATCTTCCAAAAGGACGCCAACGTTCTCTCAGAGTGCACTGCAGTGTTCTTTTCCTCCGTCCGTCATTTGTTTTTATTATGTGACCAACCCATTTGTGTTTCGCTATTGAAGTGTATTCCCCTGGTTCCCGAACATAGGATAGGTTTTGAAAATCTGAGCTGCGCATTCCGCCTAGACGTTGTCAGTACCGATTAAATTTAGAAGACATCACAATTTAACGTATTATTTACTGCCTGTTCTTTAAATTGTGATTATAACTGCGGCCTCAGCTTAACTGGGTTCGTTGCCGATATGGGCCCCCCAGATCAATCTCGTTGACGGGTGATTGTTAATGGCAAAAGATCGATAGAACTAGCTGAGAGACAGGCAAAACGAAGAACCCGGATAGTGTGGTGGTGAGCGCGTTACTCCCCGGAAAGGACAATAGCGCGTTCGTTCCCCACTGCATATACCTGCGGTCCGGAGTTTTTGCAAATATCTCAGCATCATTGAAGTTATAAGACATCGTTCAAGAGCCCTGTGAATGGAGTGCAGATTTCTTGACGTAGTTGAAGTATCAGCACACATTTCTGCTTAATAACAGAGCGCTTGGAGGACTACTAAATCGAAAAGTTGGATGCGGAGTTTTAGGTCTTTTAGTTGGTGGGTGGCTTCTTCGAGGGGTCCAAATGCGACCCAAGCTGCTTTCCTTCTTCCGTCTAATTCCTTTTTTATGTTTTTCTCCATGTTCATTGATCGCCCAACGTATACGTACGAGGTGGTCTTTGCAGTCATAGTACCATCCAGTTTAATTTCTTCGTCTTCGCTCCTTGGGTTTTTTATGAGTTGGATCTTATTCCGATTTTTACATAGTTCGGTCTTTTTTCCCGCTTTGCTCAGTTCACTGATCATCTTCTCCGCTTCTCTGGTACTTTCCGAAAAGACGATGTCATTGGCGAACGAAGATTTAGTAAAAATTTTCCAAAAATAAAAAAAAGCTCTCGGCGTTGATCAATGTCTGAGGGATGCGCCATGCATTCGACTTCATTAAGCGCCGTTTGGAGGTGATTGAATGCATATCTGCCCTTTACAATGACTTGCGGTGGCCTGCCGATGTATCGAGCCAGTGCTGCTATTCTCCCAGACAAGTCTGGTACCAATTTGCCGACCCCAGAGGGATGGAAGGCTTGGTGGGGCATGGGCGCAGGGATCATTTTCACTTGTGTGTTGAAGGGCGGCTAGCGGTGCTCGATCCCAAGTGTGTCTTGCAGAGCGCCTCTGACCACTGCGCCACTCGAGTCCTTTTTCCAGCGATATGTATGCTTTTGCCATCCGAATCGAGTGTCTTCATTGTCCACTACAGTACGGCACTCTACTGCTTTTTTGATGTGGCCTCGTCGAAGCCTTTTTTTCGTATGGGAACGGTAAGAGGTTTATTGAAAATCTGTATTTTCATAGATAACAGTGAAGCAGAGTTTTCTTGTAGGATGGGTCCACTCCTTGACGAACGCTGATAGGACTGCATTCGTTTCGACACTGTCAAAAGCTTTCTCATAGTCGACAGTAGTTAGGACCAGGAGCAGGCAGCATTCCCGACAAATTTCAGTGACACTTGGCACGGTTTGGATGTGGTCCATGCATGAAAATCACTTTCTAAATCCTGTTTGCTCAGCTGATTCCGTTTTATCCAATCTCGTTGATATGCGCGACGGAGTAATCATCGTGAAGAGTTTGTAGAGCACACTCAACAAGCATATCGGGCTGTGGTTTCGAACTTTCCTCCGATCACCTTTTTTGGACAAGATAATCCTGCAGGACGTCCTTCACTGGCTGGAGTTTTTTCTTTCGATGGGCTCTCATATGGTTTGCGAGAAGTACATGTAAATTGCGGCTTCCAGCTCTAGGGAAGTCGGCGGTTATTTTATGTGGTCCTGGAGCTGTGCTTTTTCATGATTTCTACCGCAATTCGGATTTCAGAAGGAAGAATTGGGTTTTTCCACTGGGGATTTTAGAGTCTGGGACGGGCAATGCGGAACGGAAAAGGTTGGTGTAGAACTTTTTCGTTATTGGTTCCATATCTTGGTGGGATGTTTTAGTAATCCTATCTTCGTCCTCGCTTATCAGAACGGATGGGGGAACGTTATCGCATCGCGAGGATCCCGACAGTTCTTCTTCAGACATGATCGTTTTTGAGCTGCTTCCAATGGCATTCTCTGCCAGTGCTGATATAAACCTTCCTGCGAAGATCTTCTACAGCTGGCATTTATTGTCAGCCATGTTAAATGTGTTGCAGTAGGATCGAGCTTCAGTGTGATTCTTTTTTTCGAGCAACTCTTAAGCAGTAGTGAAGATACGGACTGAAGTTCTTGTTTGTGGAAATGAGACGAGTTTGGCCCAAATTTTAAGTTCTTCGACTCATATGAGGAAAGGATTTTATTGCGAGTATCCTTGACATACACGGCTTGTTTCGTTTTTCTTGGACGGTTACAATTTTTTTCCAACTTATAACTGAATCGAATCTTTGCACGGAAAAGGTTTCGATCAGATACAGTACAGAATGTAGGTACAACTGAAGTGTCAAAGAAGCACCAGTTCCCGTTCGTGAGAATATGTCGGTCTCCGCATGAGTCGTGCCGTTAGGAGACTACCATGGCTATCGTTGATTTACTCTCTTTTCTAAAAATGAATTCCCATGGAGGAGACATACTGCGGAAAGGAGTTCTCAAATACGGTTACCGTCTTTATCTTGTTCTCCTCTGCCGAAATAACAAATTTATAGGATTTCTCTTTGTAGATTACTTCCTACATTCGCTCCCATCAGCTGTACAGTTTGATGAGTTACGGCGTGCGATCACATGGAATTTGATGCAGTCGGCACCTTCAAGAAGAGCGTAGATAGTCGGTGTCTGAAGAAACCGTACTGGCGTAATACGTGCACAGCAGGGAGTATTCTCCAAGGCGTGTCGTGGGCTTGCTAGTTTTGCGGGTTGTCTCATCGCCTGCCATTGTAGACAGGATCGTCTTGTGTTCCGAAAACTGAGGCGGGACTTTTATTGGTTTGGCTATTCAGTGAAATGAATTGGTCTATATATATTTTGGCTTGTCGTGTAGCAATCACATATTTGGGCTGTATTAACGATAATCACCCTGTATGTTGTTTCTTAAGCGTATCACATCTCGAGTCATCTTTTATGCTTAATGAAAGTTTTCGGTAGACGTTGAAAAATCCATCCATTTGCGTTAACCTTGGAAATTATCAAATAGCTTTGAAAGAATGGTAAAGTCAGGAGCTTTGTTCGCCATAATTTCGTCAGCTCCGAGCGTGTAAACTTTTAGCTTCTCCTAAATTGTTGTTTTACTAGTTAGTGGTTACTATATAGTTTTGTTCCTTGTTCTTTAAACGAATAAATATTCAGGTACAATACGCTAAGTGTCTGGGATTACGCATCGAGTGCACCATACGTGAAGATCGAAGTGAATGGCGTCCACCCTATTGACGCTGTTTTTTTCTCAGGACATAAGTTCATCGGTGGAGTTTCCACACCTGGTTGGTTGTGGTTGATTTTTATTGTAACAAAATTCCATCGACAACTCATTGTGGCAAGGACGTGTTTCTGTGAATCAAGTTGTGATGTAGAGTGAGAAGTTCATCCTCTGGATGAGTGATCCTTGTGGAAAGGGAGTCCCAGGTTTCTATTCAGAGACACATCTGAAAAGGACATAATGAACCTTCTCGGTCCTGAAGGGAACCGAACCTTTAATGTGACAACCTGGTAACCCCACCCCCATGAAGCAGATGTTTCTAATCTCCACAAAAAAGTAGTCCATCGGTAAATACCATGTAGATATTTTACGCTACGTCTTCTCTTTTTGTTAATACTGCTGTCGATGCAATATCTGCCAAGTGAGATAGGCTAATCATTTGGTCTAAAATGGTGTCTCTTTTGCCATTTGTGATAATGGGAATATATCAGCACCATTTTGAACCGAATTTTGAAAAAATAGTGAATTTACATTAAGTCAGTAATAATAAGGGCTACACAACTATTCAACGCAATGTGTATAAATGTCAGTCGGCTCTCCTTCAAAAATAGCCGTAGTTTTTCTATTGTTGCTATATTTATCGTGCAGTGCTCATCTTTTTTATTGTGGTTGTATCCAGAAGAAAAAAGCAGCAGACAGTAAATAAGAAGTTACACATTGTAATTTCGTCTACAGCCTCAGCTTAACTGGGTTCAATGCCGAATTGTGCTCCCCAGATCATTATCGTTGACGGATGATTGCTAGTGGTACCGTTAAGGTTAAAAAAGGTTACTAAGAGAAGAGCAAACCAAGGGCCTTGGTGGTGCAACGAGTAGCACTTGGGCCCTCAGAAAGGGTAATTGCATGTTCAAATCTGGCTAAGGGTCCGAGTTTTGGAAATGTCTCGTGCATCGTGTGGTAGCATTTCATGTAATGCCCTGCTAGAAAAGAGGATTATAGGCGGTAAGAAGTTGAACATCTTTTTTCTTTCAACTTTTTCTTTTTATCAATTATTCGTTTTGGTAATTATTCAGCCCAGCTTGAATTGTTATGGAACCACTGTAGAGAATTTAGTTGAATGTTAGATATTACAGATTTTAACTTTTCTATTTAGTGCCTACTACAATTTTTCACGGCAGGGTGTTATTGTAAAATACAACCATAACGATGCTGAGATATGTTCAGGAATGAACTGATTGCAGATGGCATTGATCGATGGAACTGAGAGACAGGAGAAATGAAGGATCCGCATGGTGTGGTGAGCGCATTAGCCCCGGAAAAAGTAATAGCGCTTTCGTTCCTCTCAGCATACACTTGCGGTCCGGAGTTTTGCAAATATCTCAGCATCGTTGTAGTAATATTTCGCATATTATCCTGCCATAAAAATTGTGGTAAGCAGAAAATAAAAGTAAACATTGTGATGCTGAGATATTTTCAAAACTCCGGAGCGCAGGTGTATGCGGCGGGGACCAAACAGACTATTGCCCTTTCCGAAACCTAACATTTCCATCACCACGCCATGCGGATCCTTCGTTTCGTCTTTCTCTCTAGACTACAGTCTCAGGCTAACTGGGTTCAGTGACGATTTGTGGTCTTCAGATCACACCCGTTGACGGGTGATTGCTGATAGCACTGCTAGATAAAAAATTATCTTGGAGCTCATTGTGGTTGAATTTAGCCATATTTATGTTACTGTAGAATCTCCGCTTACTTTTAAAAACCTCTTACTTTGCAGGTGTGCTAGTCGTTAAAAAATCATTAATCGAAGCGAAAGCACCCAAACGAATCGGTGGAGGGACTGTGTTTTTCGTAGGTTTCAGTTATATGGTACCAATTTTGGTAGGTTTTCTTAATTAATTAGTCGGTATATTCACTTTATAGGTATCCCAAAAAGGCGAATGGTATTTAAAGGATGCTGAGAATCGTGAAGAAGGCGGCACACCAGATAGTGTTGGCATTATTCGTCTGGCATTGGCAGTGAAATTGAAGAGAGCTGTAGGAGAGCATGCGATAGCAGCTCAAGAGGTGCAGAAAACTGCGTATGTTTTTGGAGAGTCTCTAATTTTGTGCATACAGTTTTATTTTTAAATAATTTCTGGGACATGCAAAGCTTAACAGATAATGGGAAGTAGGAGTGAACTGAAGAGTTGCCATATGTTGATATATTTATTTATATGATATTATAAACTGATCTTCTTAAGCTGACGCGAGGTTGGTACAGGTCTTCTGTGTCGTTGTCGTTGTTTTTGATGTTGTTGGTCGATGGCTGACGTTTCGGCGACTTCGCCTTCCTCAGAGTCTAGACGTATTTTATATTAGAATATTTTTATTATTCGGTGGAAAAAAGGTTAAAGTATTAATGAAGATCAAACTTTCAAATAGACGCCATATTGATGAAAAAGACTACTCACTGTGGTGTTTTGAGTGGGACTGCCCGTGTGTTGTTCGCGTCGGACGGCGAGCGAGGTCCACACAGTTCAAAAAATCATTTTGAAATAAGGCGCCAGGTCACATGTGATAGTGAACCATTCATTCGGGTTCATCTTTGGATCTTTGAAATTTATCCAAAACGTCTCAAGAGTTCTGCGCATTGATGTTTTTTCATTCCTGCGCTAGGATCCGCACATTCACTTCAAAATCATCGCCGTCGTGCATTTGTGTCCTATGCGTACCTAGAGGGGTGTTTAAACGGATTTTAGCTTTCTCATCTAGATGTTCTTTTATGCGGACACAAAGTGGTCTAACCGTTTCTCCAATATATTCCTCGCCGCATGCGTTGCACGAGATCAAGTATATTATACCTAAACTCATGCAATCCCCGTCTCTCCCGTTAGGACAAATCATACAGTTTTCTGAGCTGCACAAACGATCATAGAGACGATTTCGAACTAACTGGCGGCGTAGGGTATTGGGTGGGATGTCAACAATCGTTACATAATTTTCAAGACCACTTTTTCTTAAGCACTTTTTAATGGCGTCGGGGAAAGGGTATTGGTGGTAGTTCCCCCCTTGGTACTACTTTACCTAACCTTTCTAGCCTAACCCTGTAACGTAGCTGATTTTGAAGTTCATGTAGACTACACGTGATCCTGCGCAGGATTAGTTTAGAAATGGGTTGACTAGGTGCAAAACTCGGACCCAATTCTAACAAGGAACGCACATTTTCCGGAAGCGTTATACCTCCTAGCACAGTTTTGCTGGAACATCTCTTAATAACTCGAAAGACCGATTTTCTATGAAGTTTCTATGAAACATTTCCGACTTGTAAGAGACGTATTGTCATTAAGACAGAAAATCGTCATAATGCGACAAAAGACCTACTCTCTACGCCGCTGCTTAAAACATCGAATTATTCCTAACTTTATAAAACGTAGGAAATTATACGAAGTATGCGGCTTACCGGAGAGCTCTCAACAAATGCTGAGCATCGAAATGAAAGTGCTACGCATTTCATTGCGGTACACACAAAACGAAATGTTTTCTCTATTAAACAAATGTGTGTACAAAGAAAACCATTGTGCTCAGCATTTGGAGAGAAATCTTTGGAAGAGAATAGTAGCTGGGTCTAAATCGGTATGCGTAAAGATTCGGTGTGATATTAAGAGCAAGTTAAGGAAAAAGTTTGAAGATCTATCACGCCGCTCGAAAAGGTCAAATGAAAGGACCACCGCTGGTCAAGTCCCGAGTAAAAGCCCTAAAGTAGACTGCGCACCAAGAACATCCAGAGTTACTGTGCTAGGAGGTATAACGCTTCCGGAAAATGTGCGTTCCTTGTTAGAATTGGGTCCGAGTTTTGCACCTAGTCAACCCATTTCTAAACTAATCCTGCGCAGGATCACGTGTAGTCTACATGAACTTCAAAATCAGCTACGTTACAGGGTTAGGCTAGAAAGGTTAGGTAAAGTAGTACCAAGGGGGGAACTACCACCAATACCCTTTCCCCGACGCCATTAAAAAGTGCTTAAGAAAAAGTGGTCTTGAAAATTATGTAACGATTGTTGACATCCTACCCAATACCCTACGCCGCCAGTTAGTTCGAAATCGTCTCTATGATCGTTTGTGCAGCTCAGAAAACTGTATGATCTGTCCTAACGGGAGAGACGGGGATTGCATGAGTTTAGGTATAATATACTTGATCTCGTGCAACGCATGCGGCGAGGAATATATTGGAGAAACGGTTAGACCACTTTGTGTTCGCATAAAAGAACATCTAGATGGGAAAGTTAAAATCCGTTAAACACCCCTCTAGGTACGCATAGGGCACAAATGCACAACGGCGATGATTTTGAAGTGAATGTGCGGATCCTAGCGCAGG